AAAAAAAAAAAACCCTAAACCCTAAACCACACTCGACTTGTTTTCCTCGTTTTGCCTCTTCAAATCTAATACTCCACCGGTCCCAAAGATGAATGTGGAAAAGCGAATGAAGATGGCTGGTTCAGTCCGAACTGGTGGGAAAGGTACCTTGAGAAGAAAGAAGAAATCTGTTCACAAGACTACCACCACAGATGAAAAAAGAATGCAAAGCACCCTGAAGAGAATTGGGGCGAATACTATTCCTGCAATTGAAGAGGTGAATATTTTCAAGGAGGATGTAGTCATCCAGTTCACTAATCCTAAAGTTCAAGCATCTATTGCTGCCAACACTTGGGTTGTTAGTGGCACTCCTCAGAACAAGAAATTGCAAGATATTCTCCCTCAAATCATTCATCAGTTGGGTCCTGATAACTTGGAGAATTTGAAGAAATTGGCAGAGCAGATCCAAAAGGAGGCATGTAATGCCCCGACCCCTTGTGGACCGAAACGCTACTTACTTTACTTAACTAACCGGTGGTTTAGTCATAGGAGAATATGTTTTAGCGGAAGCTTGATTTTTACAATGATAATTTTAACAACAACCTTTCGAATACTTTAAATAAAACACTGAATAAAAAAATAATGGAACGTAATCTATTTGAAGAAAACACAACTTGTTCTCACGTTCAGCGTTATTCAAATGCTTTAAAGAAATAACATTGAAAACATTCACAAAAATAAATCTAAATAACTTGTTCATCGGGTTTTTCCATGGACTCGTTGCACCACTCTCCATCTTTTCCATCATCCAGGCCCAAGGTAGAATCATATCAATCTGTAGAGAAGGGGTTAAACCCGTGAGTTAAAAAAACTCAATAGATATCATTGGTACATTCGTGATCAAGCTATTTATTTCAAAGCTATAACTTTAGAAACCTTTTCATAATAGGATTTCCAGTAGAATCCCAAACACGTAGAGTTATGACTTAACACGACGCCTCGACTGGAAGTACATGCCGTACCCGGAGGTACCATTAGATATGGAGGTGTATGCCGTACCGGAGCTACCATTAGACATACAAATATTAACATAAATCTTCATTTGCTAGAAACTTATAACTTAACATGAATTAACACTTTGCACCTCTACCTACCTTGATAGATGCTTTGAACCTTGTCAAAAAATGCACTACTTTGATGTTTCAAAAAAAAAACACTCCGTTGAGAATTGATACTTGGAAAATACTTCTTGATAGCACCAAAACTTCTAGGAAAAACTAATTTTCCTCCCTCTCCTTTCTCTTTTTTCTAGACTTGAAAACTCTCTCTTTTATGCTTAGAAGCTTTTGTCTTGTTGTGAAAAATGTGTATGCATTTGGGCCTATTTATAGGTGAAAATCTCACAACTTAAGGGCAAGTGAAGGGCCTAATACTCATTAATACGGGTGCCATTTATGTGGGAGTAATAGGTTTATGAAGGTGCTAGAAAATCGTGTAGGAATTTGACTTTTCATATTCCACGTACTCCAGTTGATACTGTACAGCTTTTAGTTTTTCTATCATAACTTCTTCTCCCGACATCCAATTAAGGTAATTCAAAGTGCGTTGGAAAGCTAACTCAAAGAGCTACAACTTTTCATTTTCCAAATTGAATGTTTTCTATGTTTTAAATGGGCTCAAATGAGACTAAAAATCTGAAGTATACTTTAGCCATCCAATATTCATGTCTTAGTGCCACTAAGGTGTTTAAAATTATTTGGGGTTCTACATCCCCCACACCTTAATTAAAATTTCGTCCTCAAAATTTACCTTCTGATTGGGCGAATAGTGTTGGATACTTATTTTTGGCTTCCTCTTCCCCTTCCCAAGTGGCCTCTTCTATTTCATGATTATTCGATTGTATTTTGACCAATTGAATTTCTTTGTTCCTTAGTTTATGCACTTTTCGATCCAATATCCTAATTGGTATCTCTTCATAGGATAAGTCCTTTTGTACTTCCACGGACTGATAGTTCACTACATGATTAGGATCATGCACGTATTTCTTAATCATTGATACATGGAACACGTTGTGCACTGTCGATAACCCAGGTGAGAGAGCTAACCGATAGGCTACATTTCTGACCTTATCAAGTATCTCGAATGGTTCGATATAGCGGGGTCATAGCTTTCCTTTCTTGCCAAACCTAAGTACACCTTTCATCGATGCCACTTTCAGAAACACTTTTTCTCCAACTTTGAATTCTAAATTCATCCTCCTCGTATCTGCATAGCTCTTCTGTCGATCCTGTGATGCCTTTATCCTTGTAGGGATCTTATCGATTGCCTCAACTGTCCTTTCAATTATTTCTGGTCCCAAAACTCTCTTCTCCCCGACTTCATCCCAATGAACAGGGGACCTACATCTTCTATCATAGAGAGCTTGGTACGGTGCCATCCCGATAGTTGCTTGGAAGCTGTTATTATATGCGAATTCTACTAGGGGTATGTATGACTCCTAACTACCCCTAGATCCAAAACACATGCTCTCAGCATGTCTTCCAAAGTTTGGATGGTCCTTTCAGATTGACCATCGGACTGAGGGTGATATGCTGTACTAAAGTTCAGCTTTGTTCCCATAGCTCCTTGAAGACTTTTCCAAAATTTGGATGTGAACCTTGGGTCTCTGTCAGACACAGTGGACACAGGTACGCCGTATAATCTCACAACCTCTTTAATGTACAATTGTGCTAATTGGTCTAAACTGAATGTCATTTTCACTAGAAGAAAATGAGCTGACTTTGTTAATCGATCCACGATTGCCCATACAAGGTTGTTTCCTCTTGCTGACTTCAGGAATCCAACCACAAAGTCCATTGTGATATTTTCCCATTTCCATTCGGGTATGTCCAATGGATTTAACAATCCAGCAGGTCTTTGGTGTTCTTCCTTAACCTGTTGACATACCATGCATTTTTCCATGTACAACCCTATACTTCTTTTCATATTTCTCCACCAAAATGTATCTCGGAGGTCTCGATACATTTTCGTACCACCGGGATGTGCGGTGTACGAGGTGGAATGGGTCTCTTTCACTATCTCATTTCTCAAGGCTTCATACTTAGGCACACAAATTCTCCCCTTAAACATCAGTGCCTGATCCGAAGCTATTCCAAAATCCTTTCTCTTATCAGTACCAATTTCATTCTTGATCTTCAACAAGAATGGGTCATTACCTTGTGTCTCTATAATTCGATCTCTAAGAGTATGTCGAATTATCAAAGCTGCTAGATGAGCAGTGACTTGTCCTGGTATGGTAACCACTTCGATCTACAACTTTTCCAAGTCCTTGACTAACTCCATTTGAAAAGTGGGTAGTGACGCCAACTGTCCTATTGATTTTCTACTTAAGGCATCATCCACAACATTAGCCTTACCTAGATGGTAATGGATAGTACAATCGTAATCATTCACCAATTCCAACCATCATCTTTGTCGCATATTCAATTCCTTCTGTGTGAATAAATATTTGAGACCTTTGTGATCTGTGTAGATATCGCACTTCCCTCCATACAAGTAGTGTCGCCATATCTTCAAGGCGTGTACTACCGCCGCAAGTTCTAAATCATGCGTTGGGTAGTTCTGCTCATGTTTCTTTAATTGTCTTGATGCATAGGCTATCAATTTTCCATTCTGCATCAGCAAACATCCCAATCCTTGCTTGGATGCATCACTGTATATAACAAACCCTTTCATACCCGCAGGTATTGTTAACACAGGTGCCGATATCAACCTCCGTTTAAGTTCTTGGAAACTTTTTTCACATTTATCCGTCCATTGAAATTTTACTCCCTTCCTTGTAAGTTACGTCATTGGTCCAGTTATTTTGGAGAATCTTTCTATGAATCTCCAATAATAACCTGCTAATCTTAGAAAGCTCCGGACCTCGCCAGCATTAGTCGGTGCTTTCCACTTGGTTACTGCTTCCACTTTCACTGGATCTACCTCAATCCCTTGGGCAATGACTATATGTCCAAGAAATCCAACTCGTTCAAGCCAGAACTCACACTTCTTGAATTTGGCATACAGCTTCTCCTTGCGTAATACCTCTAATGCTATTCTTAGGTGCTCTTCATGTTGCTCCTTACTCTTGGAATATATCAGAATGTCATCAATGAAGACTATGACAAATTTATCCAAGTACTAATGAAATACACGATTCATCAGTCCATGAACACTGCAGGTGCATTGGTTAGCCCAAACGGCATCACTATAAACTCGTAGTGTCCATAATGAGTTCTGAAAGCTGTCTTGGGTATATCCTTTGACTTTACTTTCAATTGATGGTATCCCAATCGTAAGTCGATCTTGGAAAATACCTTAGCTCCTTTCAATTGATCTAACAGATCCTCGATTCTTGGGAGTGGGTACTTGTTCTTGATAGCTAATCGATTTAACTCCCTATAATCGATGCACATCCTCATGCTTCCATCCTTTTTCTTCACAAATAATACTAGCGCACCCCATGGAGATACACTTGGCCGTATAAAGCCCATATCTAGGAGTTCTTGCAACTGCCTTCTTTAACTCTTGTAGTTCCTTCGGGGCCATTTGGTATGGGGCTTTTGATGCTGGTGCCGCTCCGAGAATTAGGTCTATGGTGAATTCCACTTGCCTATATGGTGGAATACCAGATAGATCTTCTGGAAGCACATCTATGAATTTTCGTACTATTGGTACGTCTTCAACCTTTATCGTATCCTATTTTCCTCCTGAGATGTTTACTAAATATCATTGACATGTTTCTTTTCTCAACATCTTCTCAGCTTATAAAGTCGAGACTAGTCGAATAAGGAGTTTTGTCTTCATTCCAAGGAACGAAAATGGTTCATCTCCTGGTTTCTGAAATGATACCTCCCTTTCCTTACATTGGATGGTGGCGTAATTACAACCCAACCAATCAATGCCTAGTATTACATCAAAATCCTTCAATTCTACCATGTATAGGTTCGCTTCCATTGGTTTTCCCTCAACTTCAATACTTACTGATTTGGCTATTCTATCAGTACTCAAAGGGTTGCCTGAAGGAATGCTAACCTCTAATGTACCTTCCGACTTATCACAGGTAATGCTAGATTTAGCCTTAAAAGTTGTCGATACAAAGGAGTGTGTGGCTCCTAAACCAAACAATACATAAGCAGGAGTATTGGCTATCAATAAAGTACTTGCTATGACGTTCGAGTTTTTCTCTGCATCTTTCTGAGTCATTGCAAAAACTCGTGCTTTCCCTTTCTAGTTCTGGTCATTGTTATCATCCTTCTTCGGAGTAAATGTGGGGCAATCCTTAAAAATATGCCCTGGCTTGCCACATCTGAAACAGACATTCTTCCCTTGCAAATACACACCACGATGCGTCTTTCCACACTTAGGACATGGCTCTATAATTAGCACAATGCTCTTGTTGGTATTAGCTCCGCCATTAGCTTTCTTGTTCTGCCACTTGCCATTTCCCTTGTCCTAGCTATTCTATTTCCTGTTGCCCATACTGCCATTGTCCGGTTGATTGAACAGTTGACTATATTGCTCGACGCTAGTCTTCTGGTACCAGATAGCGTGAGCTCTTTCCAGCATTTCACGATATGAAGTGAAACAATGGGACATAAGTATCATGCTTATATCTAGGTTCAACCCTTGTTCAAATCTCCTGACTTTCTTGTCCTCCGTATCCACCAGATATGGAACATACCTTGAAAGTTGGTCAAACTTCCTTTCATACTCAGTCAGGGACATAGTCCTTTGCTTGAGTTGGAGAAATTCACTTTCTTTGTGATCCCTCAAAGACTGTGAGAAGTACTTGTCCATTACTTCCTCTTTAAATCGCTCCCAAGTCAATTTCGCTTGTTGCTCTGGGGTCCTCGTCCTTGACAGCGAGTCCCACCAGTGGCTTGCATCATCGGAGAACATAAACTCAGCACACTGGACCTTCTGGGCGTCCGTGCACCCTATTAATCGAAATATTCTCTTCAACTTGCGAAGCCACTCCTAGGCTGCAAGTGGATCAGCTGCTCCATTGAAGCTAGGGGGCTTGTGTCTTCTAAATTGCTCGACCACTAAAGCATGGGTTGGAGGAGCATTAGGAGCTAGTCATAGGGGTTGCGCCTGGTTCGAGTTTCGCCTGCAAGGTCTTGGATCGCTTGGAAGAGATCTCTTATCAAGTTGGTTTGGTTTGCGCAGGCCATTTTCCTTTAGACAAAGCGTATGGTTCTTATTAGTTTCATACTTCAAATTCTAACAAAGAAGATAAAGTTTTATTTCTTGACATAAAGGAAATTGTTACAAGGATTTAAATCTAATCCCTGTAAGTTCTCCGAATCTTCTTTGGTGGAGCCTCATCTCCAGAGGAGTCTTCCACCATCTCAACCTCGGCTCGAGCTCTGGATGATTCCCTTCTTCAAGCTCTTCTTCTTCATGAAGTTCAATTACTATCTCTGGTTGAGGTTCTAAGTTTTCCCTCCATAGGTCTAGGAGTGATTGGCAATACACTTCAAACTCAAATATATTTGGGGGCTCCTCTAGCATTACATCCCTAATCGTGACTCTCATATCTCCCCATTGACGTGGAAGGGAGTCTATGAGGTTATTTATAGCCTCAATATGCGTTATCTCCATTCCAGCGTTCACCGCTGTCATGCATCTCTCATAGACATCATGTATATGTTCGTCAAGTGGACGGAGCAGATCAGTCACGTAATTCTCATAGGATTGAATGGCGATTCTACGGTTCAATGCTCCTCTATATGCCCTAGCCGTTCTATGAGCCATATTTGTTGCATTTTCACATATCATACACTTTTTTTTATTTTTTTTACTCTTGGAAAAATGGCTACTGTTACATAACATTCTACCTATAAATTCTAGCCCAATGCGTATCTTTTGAAAAAAAATATACATCTTTCAAATCATTTCTAACCGGCATAGTATATCTTTGAAAATAAGCATAAGTTGTACCATAGCATCGTAAAGCATCATAATATAGTCTTTTCATGAAAACATTAACTTTGAACATACCTGGGCCGTAGGACGAGATTTATGGATGGATGCAAGATGCCATGGAGTATCCTAGACTTTTTCATTTTTTAAAAAAAAAAACATACTTGGTCTCCAGAACCGGCTAAACCGTGCTCTGATACCATGCTGTAACGCCCCGACCCCTTGTAGACTGGAAGGCTACTTACTTTACTTCACTAACCGGTGGTTTAGTCATAGGAAAATATGTTTTAGCCGAAGCTTAATTTTTACAATGATAATTTTAACAACAACCTTTCAAATACTTTAAATAAAACACTGAATAAAAAAATAACGGAACGTAATATATTTGAAGAAAACACAATTTGTTCTCGCGTTCAGCGTTATTCGAATACTTTAAAGAAATAACATTGAAAACTTTCACAAAAATAAATCCAAATAACTTGTTCACCGGGTTTTTCCTTGGGCTCGTTGTACCACTCTCCATCTTTTCCAT